TTTTTTTAGTATTTTGATGGGTTACAAGATTTTAAGAATTACTTTTCTTCCTTTGTATTTGGATTACTACCTAAATGGTATACAAATTCATCATACGAAGATATCCAGTACGGTGGGATGGTCCTAATCATATATACGATATTTTTAATATGACAAATCTATAATGATATTGAAATTATAACTGAATAAAATTTTATTACCTGACTAGTTTGACTTTTGATAATAATGTAATATTAATATATTTGGTAATTAAAATTTGAAACTTAGAAGGGACTTATAGATTTACAAAGATTTGCAGGTCCAGAAAATTCAACACCATATACAAAACTAAAATTCTCTTCTTTCTTATCAGTAAAGGCAAGCCCAGCTAATATAGCAAATCCACCATAACTTCCTCCATAAATTGTACCTTGTCTTTGATAGCAATTCCTTTACAAATTGCCCAACTTACTGCATCTATATTATTTATGGTACAAATTGCATAATAAATCAAAAGAAAAATTTACAAATAATTTTTGTTTTAAATGATAATCTTTAATATTTACCGATTAAGTCATTGTTTATTTTTTACCCTACTGACCGATACCAGCATTAATTAAAGACTTACCAAGTCCAATAGAAGAATTATAATTTAAATTTAATATAGCATAACCACGATTTGCAAATAATTGAGAATCAGCCTTAAAAATATAATAGTTACGAGTCCAGAGACTACCATGAACTTGTAAAATTAATGGTAAAGGATTTTTCAGCATATATTCTGTTAAAGGATCATGTTTTTCAGCTGGAAGAGTAAGGTAGCAAACTAAATCTAGATTGTCTCTTGATTTAATTACTAAAGGAAAGATCTAACATAATGAATATTTTTTAATTCTAGTATAGCATCAAACAAATAATGAATTGATTGATCATTTTGATTATAAAGATAATATTTTGGAGATTTTTCACCATTTTGAAAAGATACAGTCAAAATTAAATTATCTAATGATTGAGAAAGCATGTCGAGTTCACCTTCATTAATTTTCCAAATTATAAGAAATTTTTTCATCAATATAATACCATTTACCTTTAAGATAAGTGACAGAATATGCAATAGGATTTTTTGTTTTGGGATGAAAGAGAATTTTATTAATATCTGCTTTCTGATTTGGTGGTTTTGCTATTAATTGAAGTTTACTATTTATATCTAATTTAAAAATAGCATTGAATTCATTATCACGAGAGTTAACTAAATAAATTGCCTCATTGTTATCTATTGAAATTATGGTTGAAGATCTAATATTATCAATATCATAACTAATAATAAATTTCCAGTCATGATCACCTTCCACATTCTTATAAATTTCCTCAAAATTATTTTTTTCTAAATTAGTAACAAGTTTAGTAACACTAATCTTTAATAAATTATCTACAAAATATTCTTCAAAAGATTGATCATTTGTTTGATTAGAGTAATATCATAAGTTTTTTGGTTAATTTGGTAAAGACTATTAGCAGTTGGATCTGGGTTATTGATTGTAATAATTATTTTATTTTGGTAAAAGTTGAATAAGTTTAGATTGAACATTATCGTATTTTTTAGTTAACATCCTATTTTAGTTGTTAAAATATTAACCAAATAAATTTTATACTTTAAAAATTGAAATTTAAAACAATTAATAAATTTATATGCATCTTTTTAAATACACAAGTTCTGTAATTTATGAATGGTAGAATTATAAATATTAGTTAGGGTCATATATAATGATAACTGATCTTAGACTTTCATTAAAAAATAAAATTAAAATTAAAAAAATAAAATTAAATTAAATTAAATTTAAGACTAAATGCAATTCTACTATTAAACCATTTTAAAATCACAGAATATATATGAACTAAATTATATATAATTTGATTGTTTTACTCACACTTATTTCCATCCTTGTTATTAGAATACAAAATATTATTATTATATGTCCAATAAAAATCTACAACTTCACGATTATTTGCAAAAGTAATAGCTTTTGCATTATTTATATAATTTGCATCATCTATATAATATAATATTTTACAAATAAAAATATTCATAACTCTTTTCTTTGGGCAAAAAAAGCAAGGTATTTTTATTTTGTAATATTTTTGGTGAAGAATAACTCAGATTATTGTATAAATATTCTCATGGTATAAGCTTTTTATTTTTGATATTTTTAAAAAATCAAACAAGCCCTCAAAGCATATCTTATCTAATAATGAAATACAGCATTATTTTGATATTTATTTTATTAATAAATATCTATTAAATTATAGTATGGTGAGAACAAGTAATTTCATAAAGCTTAAAACTTGTTAACTTCAAGTTTTGATTAAAACCTTGATATTTACTAATTTTTATACTATATTATCCTTAGAGATATGGTTGACTATAGTAAATTACACTATTGCTATAGCATAATATTAAAAATTTTATTGAAAGAAATCTATTTTATTATAGTCTGTTGTAGCAAGGTTAAACTTTTATGATAGATCAGAACAGTCAATAAGTAAATT